GGTGACCTAGGACCACAACGCCATGTTCATGCGTTCTCCGCGTCCCTTAGGCTGCCGGTCGAGTGCCTCGCGATCAGATCCAGTGCTTCCGCTTCCGCCTCCACGCCCTCTGCCGCGCTCAACTGGGCCAGTTTCTGGTGCATCGCTTCGATCGGAATGCGTCGGAAGTCGTACCTCTGACATCTGGATACGACTGTGAGTGGTACTTTGTGCACCTCTGTTGTGGCAAGTATGAAGATCGCGTGACCTGGTGGCTCCTCAAGCGTCTTGAGGAGCGCGTTGAACGCAGCGTCCGTCAGCATGTGGACTTCGTCCACTATGTAGACCTTGTATTGCGATTGGGTAGGCGCGAAGCCAATCCTGTCGCTCAGGTCGCGAATGTCGTCAATGCCTCGGTTGCTGGCAGCGTCGATCTCAATAAGGTCGAGTGCACGGCCTTCGATGACAGCTAGGCAGTTTTCACAGGCGTTGTCAGGCTCCCCATTCTGGGGATCAAGGCAGTTGACGGCCTTTGCCAGTATGCGGGCAGTGCTCGTTTTGCCGGTCCCGCGAGGCCCGCAGAACAGGTACGCATGCGTCAGCCGACCGCTGGTGACGGCGTTCTTGAGCGTATTGGTGACGGTCGCCTGCCCTACGACTTCATCTAGGGCGCGGGGACGCCACTTTCTGTAAAGCACTTCCGCCAAGCAATAGTCGCTTAGTGTGAATATGAATCGTCCGGACTGCCGAAACTGTGATTCTGGCGGAGGCCGGAATCCAGAGGATGGGATTGGAGTGGGGTCGACTCTAGTCGATAAGTCCGTTCTTCCGCATCGCGTCCCTCGCGTCAATCTCTTTCGTCTGCATGACGACGGCGTCGGACTCGACTTCGTGATCGTAACCTAGCAGATGAAATATCCCGTGAGCAACCAGTGCGGCGACCTCATTTAGCAGCGAATGTCCGACCTCTTCGGCCTGCCTCTCGGCTTGGGGAAGCGAGATGATCACCTCGCCCAACCCGGACTGATGGCCAGGCGGTAGCACAAAATCGAACACCCCTGCATCGCGCGAGTCAGTGCCGTAGTAAGTCCCCGAATGGACATTGGAAAACGACAGAACATCCGTGGTCGTTTCCAAGCCCCGATGGTCGATGTTGAGCCCCGACACCGTCTCATCGTCTGCGATTACTACAGAGATGAGTCCTTCTTGCTCACACTCTTCGACGCAGAGTGCGGTCTCTGCTACCGAAGTCAACCAGCCCGCTTCGACGCTAACCAAGAACTCGTCGAAAACCTGGACTTGGACTCTAGCCATGATTGCGAAACCTGCTGGCCGCCTGGAAGGGAATTCAGCCTGTCGGTGTGGTCACATCGCGTTGGTCACTCGGAACCAATGATGGACATTGAACTAGGCAGGCGGGGGCAACCTTCAGGCGAGCCGCAAAACGGTTCAGGGAGAAGCAAAGCTCTCGTTTAAGCCTTCTTTGGACTGCAAGAACTCGAACAGATCACTGTCCGCTGGAAGCACCACAGTTGAGTTGATTTCGAAGATCTTGCGATAGGCCTCAAGGGACCTCTGGAACTTATAGAATTCAGGATCGGCCGAGATTGCTTCAGCGAAAATCTTGATTGCCTCAGCCTCGCCCTCACCCCTGGTAATGTCCGCCGTTCTCTGGGCGCCGGCTTTAATGATTGCGGCTTCGCGGTCAACCGCGGCGCGGACTTGTGCGTCGATTTCCTGGCCCTCGGCCCGCTCCTTGTCCGCCTTCCTCTTGCGCTCAGACTGCATTCTTGAGTACACAGACTCCGCAATCTCAGGTGGAAAATCAGCGCGCTTGATCCTTACGTCTATGATGTCGAGTCCAAATTCCCTCAGCTTGGGCTGAACGATGGCTTGAACCCGCACCATGATGTCTTCGCGCTTGGTTGTGATGATCTCAGCCTGGTTGTCGCTCGCGATCTCCCGCCGCAATTCTGACGTGATTATGTCGACCGCTCGCGCCTTGCCCTGGCTCTCCGTCTGGACAGTCTGCCTGAACAGCACAGGGTCGACTATCCGTCCCCTTGCGTAAACGTCAATGATGAGGCGCTTCTTGTCCTTGGTTAGTAGAGACTCCGGTGGCGCGTCGAAACTCAGCAGGCGCTTGTCGAAGTATGTCGTTGTATCGACGAAGGGAGCCTTTATGTAGAGTCCTGGACTCCTGACAGACTGCCGAACTTCTCCGAAGCGGGTGACGATGGCCTGCTCTTTTTCATCTACCACGAAAAAGAGCTGCGGGCCCACAATTGCAGCCACGACCGCCACTATGATCACTGCTAACGCTAGGAATTTCATCGAATGGCGTCCCTATTAATTCCTGCCAAGTGTAGTCGGGAGTTCGCTCTCGCCTGAAAGGTCGATCAGTTCAATCAGACCACCGCCGGTGTCGTCGTCGATGATGTACTTCCGTATATCCGGAAGTATCTCTTCCATCGCCTCGAGGAACATTCGCTGGCGGGTGACCTGTGGGGCCTGTTCGTATTCAAACAGGATCGACAGGAATCGCTGTGACTGACCTTGCGCGATCGCGATGCGCTCCTGCTTGTAGGCTTCCGCGCCCTCAACCAACCGAGCGGCTTCACCCCTCGCATTTGGTAGGAACGACTCCCTGTACGCGTCTGCGAGGGTGCGATGAATTGTGTGGTTATGTGATTGATGTTTGTTTGAAACAATTTGAAATTGCACTTAGGGTGATGAGATTAATATCCAGCGCTTGTCCGCCTGGCCGCGACGACATCGTCGAATGGCGTCTTGACCGTCGACTCCGGTGCGAACACGTTGAGCAGCTTGACTTCACGGACATTGATGCCGGTTTCGTATTCGTCAAGTAGTCTCTGGAGGAGCAGCTTAGTGTCGGCCTGCGTGGCTTCCTTCTGGTCGGTAAGTGGATCGTCGATCGGCCTGCTGCCAACCATATGGCGAGAGTGCCAGCGAAATCTCGTGTCAGCGTCCTCTCATGTCTGACCGCCCGGGTCTACTGTCCGATAGACGGAAGTATGTAGAGTCCTTGACTGTAGTACTGTACCAGAAGCTAGGCAGCGCTCGACGAGGTATGTTGCGCTCTCTACCAGGCTGTCCTGCTTCATCTGGGTCGCCCGTTATCATTAGCGACTCGGCGCAGATGCTAAGGGTGCCGCCGCGCGACACCGACTTCTTCATGCTGCGACTGTCATCTACGCTGGACGAGTGTCTCGATGGCTCCGACGTGGAGAAGGCCAAGCCGACCAGTGCAGAGCCGCTGGCTCGGAGACTGACTCGAACATGCCGAGATCGGCGTCGTAGCGCGCCAGTTCCCCGGTGCTACAGAGTAATAGAAAGCCGCTGCCAGCCCACACAAGAATGCCTACGCCGAACAGCGCGAGCACAATGATCGCCCACACGCTCCTGCCACCGCCAACACCGCCAATCTTGAAACGGCTGAAGAATCCCCTGATTCGCTCGAGGATCTGATCGAAATTTACTTCAGGTTCTTCTGGCCGGTACATGCTGTGGGACAACCCCGTATGAATTCTGACTTACCTTCTTCTGACTTACCTTCTATTGTAACGATATGGTAACACAGGATGTTAGTGCATTGGACAGCGCTTCTCCTTGAGGGCCTGCATCAATTGCATTCCGGCCTCCCGTGTTGATGGTAACCTCCTCTTCCTGAAGAGAAGAGAGGACTGGAGTGAGGATTAAAGTCCTACCTAACAACCTGACGCGGGCCTGTAGGAAAGCCACTCGTGACACAGAAGACGAACCTGATACCCTCTGTGCTGGCGTCGGTGTTGCCTGTGTAACGAAAGTCAAGGAGGACCCATGAAGTACGATGTCATTGTAGTCGGTGGAGGAGCGGCCGGGTCGGTCCTGGCGAGCAGGTTGGCTGAAGACCGGAATACCTCTGTCTTGCTGCTCGAAGCAGGGAAGGACTACCCAGATCCCGACAGGCTCCCGGACGAGATAAAGTTCGGCCACACCAGGTTTGCGGAAGCCCCTGATTCAGAGCACAACTGGGCGTTGAGCGGTACCGCTACCGAAGAGCAGGGCGAGATCCATGTGGCTCAGGGCAAGGTGATCGGGGGAGGCTCGTCTATCAACGGTCAGGCAATGCAGCGAGGATTCCCCGAAGACTTCGACTCATGGTCCGCCCTCGGCAACGACGAGTGGTCTTTCGAAAAGGTGCTTCCTTTCTACCGAAAGATGGAACACGACCTGGACATACAAGACGATTTCCATGGCTCGGATGGGCCGATGCCGGTGCGACGACGCAAGTCCGGTGCATGGCCCGCCATCCAGAAGGCCTTCCACGATGCCTGCGTAGCGGAAGGGTATAGCGTAACTGAGGATACCAACGGCCCGAATCCCGCCGGCGTCGGCGTGTCTCCCACCAACAACTTGGGAGGCGTCAGGATGAGCGCCGCCATGACCTACCTCAATCCGATGCGCCATTGCCTAAACCTCACGATCAGAGGAGAGGTGTTCGTCCGAAGGATACTGTTCGAGGGATCGAAGGCCGTTGGCGTGGAGGCCGAGAGTCAAGGGGAGGTATTTACAGTCACAGCGGATAGAGTCATTTTGAGTGCAGGAGCTATCAGATCACCCCATATCCTCATGCTGTCCGGTTTCGGCCCTGGAGACAACCTTGAGGAATTTGGAATACCGCAGATCAACGACCTCCCAGGCGTGGGGCAAGGACTCTGGAACCACCTCAGCGCTCATGTCACCTTCAAGGTCAAGGGCGGCGTCTCCCTCACTGCCGATCTTGAAGCGCCGCATTTCAGTCTGCACTACACGTCACGAGGCTCTGACGAGACCAACGACATGGTCTTGAGAACTGGCAACGTAGTGGACGAGCGGCAGGAGCGTGTTCCGGGCCTGCGCACAAGATACAGGACGGGGGAAGTCTCTCCCGACAGGGCGGCGCGGATATCCTGCACTCTCGGCCTTCCCAAGGGTTCGGGGTATGTTCGGCTCGCCTCTGCCGACCCCGGCGTCCAGCCGGAATTCAACTACTGCTACCTCCGGCACCCGGACGATATTCGGCGTGTCAGAGAGGGTCTGCGACTTGGAGTACGACTTCTCGAATCCGAGGCGTACAGAGATGTGGTAGATCATGTAATCAATCCAACAGACGACCTTCTGACGGACGACGACGCCATGGATCACTGGATACGCCAGACAGTGGGAACAGCCCGCCATGTATCTGGGACATGCAGGATGGGACCTGATTCAGATTCCATGGCGGTGGTTGACCAGTACTGCCGTGTAAAGGGAGTACTGGGCTTTGGGTGGCCGACGCATCGGTAATGCCGAGGATTCCGAGGTCAGGCGGAATTCACCCCACCGTAATCATGGTCGCCGAACGCGCCGCCGAATGGATCTCCGCGGGCTAGCTGCGCCATGTGCACGGCTTCATCATCGTGTGTACGGAGTAAACTCATTGAGAACTGCCAGCGGATGTTTTCCGATCAAGTAGCTCCAGAAGATCATCACTACTGGTGATAGATCCTGCCAGCCTCAGGAACTCGCCAACATCTGCGGACACCTCTCTCAGACGCCGTACCTGGGGGCCGATCGGATCTATCGAGGCCGGACCATGGGCGTAGGTGCCATGGAAGGCAAAGTACGCCTGATTGAGCTTCCTGATGGGGTGCCCACTCTCAGTGAGCAGCTTCCTTTGGTCTTCCATGTAGGACTCTGCTTCTTCGATCCGGCCCTCTGCCAAGAGCCGATCTACTGTCACCCGTGTCTCTCTCATTATCGTACCGAAGTCGAATTCATTGTGTTCAGTCAGGTCGGCTACGTTAAACTCAGATGCAGTGCCCCGTGTGAAACCGCTCTTCTTTGGCATCCGAGACTGCATAGTGGCATATGCCAGATCCCCAATCTAGTCACCCGCAATGCTCGCAACTGTCTCGTTGAGTACCATCAGCTCCGCACTCGCATACGGATTGCGTCCCAGCGGCTTCAGGAACAGGTAGTGATGGATCCACTCGTGCGCAGCCAGCCGGAGTGTGCTCCTTAAGTCCGCGCCGTGGTGGACTGATGCGGGATAGGTGGCGACCCCTCCAACCTCCAGCACGAGTGCGGACAGATCCAGCTCGGTAGAGACCTTCTCTTCCACCTCTTTTCTGGACTGTATTCCCAGGTCTGAATCGAGAAGCACGTCGCCCAGTCGTTCAATCCTGTCTCGCGGCGACGTGACCAGGACCATCGGCGGTGCCTCAAGCCTTACATCAACTGGAGGGAACACTACTTCACCGGTAAGTCCTAACCTCTGTGTCCCGATGACGGTGCTGATCTCTGACTCGACTGCCTCTTCAACGTCGTTTCGTAGTTCCAGGCGCGTGGCACGATGTCGCTGCAGCAGGTCTTCGAGTTTCCTGAGTTCTGCCTCGCCATCACCGCTTGCGCTCGCCGCCTTTAGTTGACTATTGAGCTGCCCGATTTCGGCTCCTAGATCGAAGTACTGTCCAATCGCCTCCATGCGCTCCGACTCGGTCATTCCAATTCCGGGAATCAGACCTCGAATCCAGTGAGTCCACTTGGAGTGAGAATTGGCAAGGTGCCATCCGACTAGATCGTAGGTGTACTTTGCAGAAAGCTTTTCGGCGGGGCTCAGAGCTAGAACGTCACCACGAAAACCGAGAAGGATCAACGAAATCAGCGCAATTGCAAGCCACCTGGCAACGATGGCAATCCTGGAATGGCGAAGACTCAGGGGCCGGCCCGACTAACGGCGAAACAGGTTGAGGAACCTATCTTGGTATATGTCGAATGCCCCCCAACGTTCGAGCTCACGTCTGAGTTCTTCCGGGTCGCCGCCGCGCGAAACTTCGTAAAACATGCGCTCAATTCTCTGAACCGCCGCCATTGGCAGCCCTCCCGCGCCTGGAGCCGGGTCCAAAAGACCCCTGGAGCCGAACTCTTCGACGTGGCCGGGGGCAGACCTCGAAGTAAGCTCATACATGAACTTGATTAGCGACACGTCCCACAGTTCGTCCACCCCGACCATCACAACCGAGAGGTTGTTCTGTTCGCTGGTCAGTCGGTCGTCGATGCGACGGGCAATCTCTCCAGCGTCGCCGCTTACTATCTCAGTGCCCTCCGGCTCATTCCGGTACTGGTAAAGAATGCCCGCGCTGTTCGGCCCGTGCTGACTGGACATATACTCCAGGTAGCGGTATGCCTCCGGACTAAACCCCTCTAGGTTCATCGCGTAGTACGGAGTGACGATGGAAGGCTCTTGCGCGACGACCTTCCCAGTCCTGACGACACCCTCTTTCTTTGTCCGGTTGCAGATCCCTGTAGATCGGCTCAGTCACCACATGGTACGAAAGTGACGTTATGCCAAAGGTAGCCAGTTTCTGGGCTGGGTACCTGACCACCGATGTCTGTTCAGCTGCTCTGATCCAGTCTAGTTGGTCTTCCACGTGTCACTTCCTTCGCCTGCGAAGTCCAAGTCCGATTAGACCTAAAACGCTGAGTGGAAGAGCCAGATCTGATAAACGCATGGTCGGCGTCGCCGGTGCGAAACAGGCCGAGCCTCCTTCACGCCTATCAGCTTCGCCACCTTCGTTCTCAGTCTTCGAAACTGCGGGGGGCTCTGTAGCCGTTGGCTCAGGTGCAGGAGCCGGCTGTGGTTCTGGTGTCGGGGTCGGCTCAAGACTTGCGATAGTTTCCGATCCAGCCTGCGGCGTCAGACTGAACAGCTGGAGCGTCGGTCTGGCAATGGGTGTCGGCTTTGCGCTGTCCCTATCCGGGGGCACATAGTGCTCAGCGCCGAGGGTATCCCTCCACTGGTTCTCGAGTTCAATTCGAGAAAGGCCGTATATTTCCTGTGTGGCCTCATCCATGTTCGCGCCCGCCTTGAGAGTACTCAAGAGCTGGCGCATGGCCTGCGGACCGTACCTGAACACCATGAACTGGATCAGGCTTCTGGCCTGTCCATAGAAGATGATTACGTCCTCAGGGTCACCGGGAAGGATCGGCATCGAGGTTATCGGTAGTAACCTGTCCGTCGCCATCGCGAACTCAAGGGCGATGTCATACGAGAATCCGGGGTCGACATTCCCGAATTCGGCCAGACCTTCATCCAACCATGAAGGTATGCTTCGAGCAGAGCTGTCCCCCGCGCGATGAGTAAGTATGTGCGTTACCTCGTGTGATGCAGTGCCCTTGGCTCGCCTGCCGCCTCCGAGCACCAGAAGGGTGCCGATATTGGTGAAAGCCTGACCCTCGGTGATAAGCTCGCGCCTGATCGTACTTGACCCAGGAGGAAGCGCCTCCAGCATTTCCTTCACATTGTTGTACATGGTGACCCGAATCGGCTCCGTAGTGTCCGCTCCAAGTATTGGCCCCATGAAGTCGAGAGTCTGGACGATGGCCTCGAGTATTATCTCGGCGCGCGTCTTAACTGGTCCGTGATATGCCACCGCTATCGGCCCATCGGAGACCTCCTGCCACGTGAATCGAGCGTCCTCGTATATGAACTCCTCTGTATCCGTTATGAGTTCATTGCCTTCTGAGTCCCGAATCTCGAAGTAGTAGTAGATTATGGTTCCTGGAGGGATGTATCGGACCGCTGTGTTTGTGCGCCAGAAGAGTTCCGAGTCCACGATCTTCGCCTCGTCGAACTCCATGTACCCGTAGACGTCTCTGGTCTGAGTACCGGGCGGAACTTGACCGCGATTTCCTCTACCTCTTGTTCAGATTCAACCTCGATGGTAAATCTCATCCCGTCGGGAAACTCGCTCACAACATCAGCTGATGTAACTGAGATTGTCTCCGAGGATGCGGATGAGGTCTGGACTGTGACCAGTCCCAGAAGGATGCAAGTTACGGCAACGAGTGCGACCCGAGGCAGTACCGAAGTGACTCGACTTGATCTCAACATTGAACTCCGGAAATCCGCAGAAGGTCGCGTCGCACAAACCGTGCTCCACCTGCTGCGGCCGAATTGCGAATCCTGGTTGGCGAACCAAACAGCAACGCTCTAGTTTGTATACGTCTGCAACCATGTTCAGAGATTGCGATAGCCATCACTGAACGTCACGGTCTTCATTTGCGATCATGCGGGAAGTGTGGATCAGCCGGTGGATTGCCGTAACGGTCGTGAGCGCGCCAATCACCCCCAGGACTACAAGGACCACGACAGGCACCCAGTGTCCCACAATCAACCCTATCCCAACGGCAGCGACACGTTCAGGCCGTGTCATCACGCCGACCTTGCAGTCTATTCCGAGTCCCTCGGACCTCGCCCGCATGTAGCTCACCATGATCGAACCCACTAGAGCAACATAGACTAGTATCGAGCCCAGATCATTGTTCTCGGACAGATAGTAGGCCAGCAACCCCAATAGGACCACGGCTTCAGACACCCGGTCGACTGTGGAGTCCAGGAGAGCGCCGAAGTCCGACACCTTGCCTGTCGCTCTGGCGAGAGCGCCGTCGAAAAGGTCGAATATCCCGGCGAACAGGACTATGAGCCCTCCGCCCCACCAGTTTCCCATCGCTATGACGTAAGCGCCAGCTCCAGCGATAGCCAGACCGATGAGGGTAACGAGGTTAGGAGTAAGTCCCAATCGTGAGAATAGGCGCGCAACGGGTCGTTCAATGTAATCTGCCACCGCCTGTCGAGCGCTGTCCCGGCTCGTCATGAAGTCACCGTACAATCCTCAGGGTATCGAGACATCTTAGGCAGGCAGCCTGAGTGCGGTCAAATTCGTCCCTACGCGGTTGCGGCGGCAGTTTGCTCCGGGACGAACTCATCATAGTAGTCCATTACTCGACTCGCCACGCGTTCCCATCGGAAACTGTCAGCAGTCCTGACTCCCTCCGCAACTAGCCGCTGTCGAAGGTTGTCGTCATCTATCACTGCGGTGATAGCCTGCGCGAGTGCCTCTTCATCCTTGGGAGGAACCAGAAGACCGTTCTGTCCATGCTCTACGACGCTGGCGTAACCTTCGATCTCGGTTGCCACCACTGGCGCGCCCGCAGCCATAGCCTCGAGTAGTACGATTCCGAAGCTCTCCTTGCCGGTCGCCGGAGAGCAGTAGATGTGCGCGGACTTGAAGTACCTTTCCCGCATCTTGTCCGAGGTGCGCCCGACGATTAAGACGTCCTGCAGGTTGCGCTCGCTCATTATTCGATAGCAGTCAGCGTCCATCTGGCCGCCACCGACCACGATCAGTCGTATATTTGGTCTGTCCCACTTGAGACGGCTGTACGCCGTCAGCAGGTACTTCAGTCCTTTGCGCTTTTCGAGCCTGCCCAGGAATAGGATGTTGGTCTTACCGTCCATCAGTTCCGGCAGGGGCTCCGCGTCGCTGAAGTCATCCACCCGGACGCCATTCGGAATGATCCGATAGTCGCTGGGAAAGTGACTGTTGACGAAATGGGCCGCCGGATTTGACACGGCTATTCTTCCATGAAGTCGATTTAGCAGCCGATTCGCCAACCGGTCCGGACCTATGGCCCACCATACACGGCGTCTGCGATAGCTGTGGAAACGTAGCGACAGTGACTGTCTTGGTCGTGTCAATGTGGCGAAGCGCGCTGAACGGCACAAACCCTACAAGGGGTTCGTGCATGTGTACTATATCGAACTGCTCCCTCTGTAGAAGCGACTTGATCTGTGGATCAAGCCACACTGAGAGTGAGACCCTGGCAATGGAGTCTGCGCTTCGCAGAGGAACTGCACGCCCCATTGGTACGAAGTCAGGGTCGTCATCGGGCAGTGGGGATGAACTTGGAGCCACGATACGTACCGTATGGCCCCACATCCGAAACTGGTCGGCGAGTTCCCGAATATGACTCTGGACTCCGCCGCTGTAGGCGTGGTCATATGGCGAGAATAGGCCGATTTTACATGGTCGGTCCATACCCTCTCCTTGGGACGGCGATCCGGAACGTGTGGTCAACGGGTTGCGCGACCTGTACTGAAAATACCTGCTCCGGGGGGCTGATCGTCGAATAGTCGGATAATACTCATTCTATCCTTATCCGAGGTAGTTGACCAGTCATACGCTTGGACAAAGCGATAGTGAGGGCACTTCCAGACTCGCGTCTGAACGTAAGGGAGGGCAGTGAAATCTGGCAGTCTGCCTAGTTGTCCACGCCCGAGATGAAGTCCTCAACCATTTGACGGGCGACAGAGTCGGTGTACTGCACCGGAGGCGACTTCATGAAGTATGCCGACGGCCCGAGGATCGGACCCGAGAGGCCTCGATCTTTAGCGATCTTCGCGCATCGGATCGCGTCGATTACGACTCCGGCAGAGTTCGGGCTGTCCCACACTTCGAGCTTCAACTCTACATTTAGGGGAACGTCGCCGAAGCTGGTGCCCTCGAGCCTTATGTAAGCCCACTTGCGGTCCGATAGCCAGGGCACATGGTCAGAGGGGCCGATATGGATGTTGTCCCCGTCGAGGTCGGTGTCAACCTGCGACTGGACTGAGTTGGTCTTGGAGATCTTTTTCGACGTCAGACGGCTGCGTTCCAGCATATTAAGGAAGTCGGAGTTTCCGCCGAAATTGAGCTGGTATGTCCGCTCCAGATCGACTCCTCGATCCATGAACAGCCTCGTAAGCACGCGATGGATAATGGTGGCTCCGACCTGCGACTTGATATCGTCTCCGATTATCGGCGCCCCGGCATCCCTGAACCTGCGCTGCCAGTAGTCTCCCTCTCCGCTCGCGACAAACACGGGAATGCAGTTGATCATCCCCGCTCCGGACGCGAGGATCTGTTCGGCGTACCATCTCGTGGCATCTTCCGAGCCAACTGGGAGATAGTTGATTACTACGTCTACTTCGCGCTCTTTCAGGACCCCGACAATGTCGTCCGTCGGCCCTGGCGCTTTTTCGATCACGTCTGACATGTACTCGCCCACGCCGTCTAGAGTCATACCTCTCTGTACAGTGATGCCGGTGTTCGGGACGTCGTGAAACTTGACCGTGTTGTTCGGTTCCGCGTAGATGGCTTCCGACAGGTCGAGGCCGACCTTGGTAGCGTCGACGTCGAACGCCGCGACGACATTTATGTCCCCAATACCGTACTCGCCGAGCACCGGATGCATAATTCCCGGAATGCTGTCCTCGGGGCCGGCGTCGGAGTACTTATGTATTCCCTGAACTAGGGAAGATGCGCAATTACCCACGCCGATTATTGCCACGTTGATGTCAGCCAACTTGCTCCACCTACCTCACGACTGGATCGGTCACTTGCTGCATATGTCTCACAAGTAATCGTGGACACACGCTGTCGAATTGTAGCACCTGCCAAATAATGCGAACAAGATTTGCGCCCAGTGCGTGCGTCCCTTTCCGTCATTCCGGCAAAGGCCGGAATCCAAGGGGGATAAGGTAGTCTTCGAAAAGACTGCCCAACCACTTTGGGGCATGTACAACCGAAGCCTTCTAGCTTAGTTCTCGTAATAGGAAAGGCCCTGCCGCGTGGGCAGGCCTGTTCCAAGTAGTCTGGTCTGCAAACTGTGACTACAGGTTGAACTGTGGTTCCAGGTAGTCCCTGTCCTTCACGTACACTTGCAGTCGGCACCTGATGCCGTCCGTAACCACGATCCGGTCCTGACCGTCGATTGCTATGCCTCCTGGACGACGGAAGTGCCCCAGGGTGACCATTTCGTTTGGGTCCACACGCTGAAACGCCTTGACGTAGTCAGGGTTCGAGTCCATGAAGTCCTGACCCCATTTGGAGAACTCTCTCGCGTCTCCATACAGACCGGCGATTATGTCGCCGTCTGGATAGTAGATCTGGACCCGGTCGTTGCCCCAGTCAGTTACGTACACGTCCCCTTCGCTGTCTACCGCAACGTCCGATGGCCGACTCAGCATTCCACCGTCATCGAACGTGGAGCCGAACCTCCCTAGGAACTCACCCTCCCGCGAGAACTTCTGCACTCGGTTGTTACCCCAATCGGCAACGAAGATGTCGCCATTCTGGTCGGTCGCGATGCCCCATGGTCGGCTGAACTGACCATCTTCGCTGCCCTGTGTGCCGAACGTGCTAAGAAACTCGCCGTCCTTGGTGAATTGCTGGATTCTGCCATTCTCGCTGTCGACGACCCAAAGGTTGTCGTCGCTGTCGAATTCCAGACCAGAGGGTCGATTCAACTGCCCCGCTTCATTGCCGTGCTCCCCCCATTTCGCGAGGTGCTCACCGTCTGAGCTGTACACATTGATGAAGTGCTCGAAGCCATCGGCGCAGTAGATGTTTCCGTCATGGTCAACTGCGAGCCCATTCGGCCAGGTGAAATCACCCTCTCCAAATTCACCCAGGTACTCCTCGTCAATAGTAAGGACCGTAACGGGCGGCCCAACTTTCCCACGGCTGTTGAGTACGTAGATGACTCCTTCCGACGTGATTGCCACCGACGTCGGATGCACAAAGCCTCTACCCCTTCCTGACAACCAGCCAATCGGATGACTGAAGTGCCAGGTACGACCTGCTACTGTCTTGGTCTGCATGACACTAACTCCGGCTAGTTCGTATTGCCGTTGGTCTCAACGAACTTAGGCTTCTCAAAGTGACCGTTCACTATGGGCACTGGGTCGAGCTCCAGCCAGTCCTCAAGTAGGGTTGAGTAAACGCCTCTGAAGTCCTGGTGAGGCACTAGGTCGCCCTGGTCCAGCGCCTCCGGTCGGGTTTCTGGATACTCCCCGTGCATCCCGCCTACTACGCGCGGGCCTATCGTAATGCAGGCCCCCGCGGCTCCGTGATCCGTGCCGGAGCCATTGTCCCTGACTCTTCTGCCGAACTCCGAGAACAGGAACATGATCACGTTCTCGTCCGCGTCGTGCTCCCGAAGATCGTCCCAGAAATCCGCGATCGCACCGGACACCTCGGTCCAAAGTTTGTCGAACGTCGGTCCCTGAGAAGCATGGGTGTCGAAGCTGCCGTGCTGGGTGTAGAACACGCGAGTTCCGAGATCGGCCGTGTGTATCATCGCCACATCACGAAGGCTGTTGGCTATGGGATTGTCGGCGTACTCAATGCTGGACGAGTATCTCCCCAGTCCCTCCTTGAGTATGCCGGCGCCCTTCAGCGCGTCCAGACCCGTCTGTCCCAAGTAGTCCTGCACGGGTCCAGTCCCAATTGCCTGACCGTACATGTTCACGAATTTCTCGAGCATCCTGTTGCGCCGCTCTTGTTGTTCGATTCCCGTGAGGAGTCCGTACGTGGATAGGTCGGCGACCGATGCCACCGATACGCCGGGTACAAGCAGCGCACGGGGCATGCCCTGCCCGATGTTTACACCCGCAACCGGGTTTTCGCCACTGGGATCGAGATCGCGAAGCGCACGTCCCAGCCAGCCTTCGGTGCCGATGATATCCGGCTCACACGTGTGCCATATATCCATCGATCTGAAGTGTGACCTCGGAGAGTTGGCGTATCCAACACCATGTATGACGGCCATGTCGCCGCGCTCGTAGATGTCCCTCATCGGACCCATAGTAGGGTGGAAGCCGAGTTCGTCGTCCACCCTCACGACATCTTCCTGATTGATGCTCAACGTCTTGCGGCTGTCGTAGTAGTTCTGGTCGGTGTACGGAATGACCGTGTTCATGTAGTCGTTGCCGCCGGTGAGCTGCAGAACTACGACTACCGGGGGTTTCTCTGCGGATGCCATCTTCCTCACTCCTCACAAAGACGTTTTGGAAGTCCTCTCACGCCTCAGCCGAACTGGTACTCCGTGGTTGCTGCGATCAGCGAAAGCATGTCGCTCACCCTATGGGCAGACATCGCGTAGTCCTCGTCGTTCGCCCATGAGACCGGACCCTCGTCCTCAGCGTGTGAGACAAGCTCCTGGCGTGTCAGTTCCGAGACATCGACAGGTCCCATATGTTCCAGGCACCGGTCCACGAATGCCTCAGGCGTCATAGCCTGATCGCCGTTCGCTACACGTCCAACTATGCTCCTGACACCTGGCAGGTTAGTATCGCTCACGCGGTCTACCACGAAGTTGATTCGCTTCACCACCGACCCGCTATTGATCCACTCTCTGCCCGTATGCCATCCCTCGACGCTCGGAGGATCATGCAGGCTCTGTCCCATGTATGCGGGCTCTTGGCCCATTTCCAGCAGGCGCGGGTCAGGGCCCTGAAGGTCTCCGACCATCCTCAGCGTACCCACAACAACCTCAGCCGGACTCTTCACCTTCTGGTACATCGACTCCTTGAAGAAGTCTGAGTTGAAAATCGTCCGTAGTACCGGCCGGATCTCGTAGCCCGACTCTACAAACGTCTCTGCCAGCAGTTCCACTGCTTCGGGATTCCGGGGAGGCTCCACGGACCAAGCGGGCACTTGCGGCTCGTCGGCCACGAAGAAGTTGTACAGGTGGCGCACAACGAACCTCGGACAGGCCGGCTGCTGAAGGACAATGTCGATTATGTCGTAGCCGTCGAAGTTGCCGGCGTGACCCAGGAAGGACTTCTGGCCGTAGTCATGTTCTTCGGCTCTGAACTCGAACTTCCACGAGAACCTGTGGTGAGGCTGGCGGGGGATCTTGGCGTCTATGGTCCACCCAGTAAATGCCCGAGCGCACTCGAAAACGTCCGTCTCCGTATAGTGGCCGACTCCAAGCGAGAACAGCTCCAGCAACTCACGACCCCAATTCTCGTTGGGTGCCCTCTTGTGGTTCTCGTTGTTGTCCAGCCAGAAGATCATGGCCGGATTCTGCGCCACTTTGATCAGCAGGTCCCTGTAGTTGCCCATTCCATGATTGCGGAAAAGGTGAGTCTGCGCCGTAAGGTGGTTGTCGTTATCTACCTTTGAGTTGCCGGTGGCGAAGATGTTGTGCCAGAACAGCGCAATCTTCTCCTCGAGAGGGCGCTGAGTGTTGATCATGTGGTACAGCCACTGCGCTGCCCCCGGAATCGGGTTGGGACCGCCGGTCTCCGTGGAAGGGATGTACCTGAACAGGATGTCCTGGTCAGCGCGAAGGATGTCGTCAGGAGGGTCGATCAGCTGCTCAACAGTCTCCTCATACCCCTGCTCAACCAGCACCTCTAGCTCTTCCCTGGTTGCACCGAACCCCGCGCGACGCATAAGGTGGGCCATCAGGGCGATGTCCTCTCTATGGACATTGATCTCCTCCTCCGTGCTGTGACTAGCTCCGCTGCCTGTGCGGAGCAGTTCCCGCATCTACCGATGTTAATGAATGCTGGCCCAGCCGCTGTCCGGGGCATGTTTCCAGACTGTCGGGCTCTGGCCCTAGTCTAATCTCAGCTTTGTGGATCGTCAATCGAGCTCAACACATAGCCCAGTAAATGCCCCGATCTAGGCATGAACAGGCCACAGCAGCCTTACGCGGTCATTCCGCCAGTGCTAGAATCTGGCTGCAAGTCAGGCCCTGCGAGGGTCGCCAATTGCATCCTCAGACCAGCTCGAGGAGGACGCGCTCAAGTTATGCCCCTTGAAAACATCGTGGTTCGCGGCGCGCGCGAACACAACCTCAAGAACGTAGATGTCACCATTCCACGCAACAAACTCGTGGTCATCACGGGTGTCTCCGGCTCCGGCAAGAGCTCGCTTGCATTTGACACCATCTACGCAGAGGGACAGCGACGTTACGTGGAGTCACTGTCGGCCTACGCTCGACAGTTCCTGGGCAGGATGGACAAGCCCGACGTTGAGTATATCGAGGGTCTGTCGCCCGCAATCTCAATCGATCAGAAGGGAGTCTCCCACAACCCGCGCTCCACGGTCGGTACCGTAACTGAGATCTACGACTATCTCAGGCTACTGTTCGCGAGGGTAGGGCGCCCCCATTGTTACAAGTGCGGACGCCCTGTCGAGCGACAGACTGTCCAGCAGATAGTCGACGCCGTACTGGGCCTGCCAGAGAAGACCAGGCTACAGATTCTCGCGCCGATGGTCAGGCGACGCAAGGGCGAACACAAGGAAGTGTTCGAGAACGCACGACAGGCAGGGTTTGTCAGGGTGCGCGTTAACGGCGAAGTACACGACCTCAGTGAGCAGTTCGATCTCGACAAGCAGAAGTGGCACACCATTGAGATCGTAGTAGACCGTCTGGTTTCCGGAGACAGCGCGGACGTCGGACGAGTCACTGAATCGGTGGAAACTGCTCTTCGCATGGCGGGCGGAATCGTCCTGGTAGATGTGGCTGGCGAAGATGAGATGCTCTTCTCTGAACACTTCGCATGTGTCCACTGCGGCATCAGCCTCGGGGAGTTGGAGCCCCGCACTTTTAGCTTTAACAACCCGCACGGAGCGTGTTCAACCTGCACAGGTCTGGGCTATAAGCTGGAGGTCGATCCCGACCTCGCTATTCCCGATAAGAAGAAGAGCATTGTTGCAGGCGCTATAGAACCGTGGTCTAGGACCGGTACCGTCGCTTCCGTGGAACCTGAGTCAGCTCGAATCCCTTGGCAGAGAGTTCGGTTTTGAGGTGGACGATCCAATTGAGAAGTTCACGAAGAAGCAACTGAACGCTTTGCTCCGTGGCACTGGCCGAAAGCGCATTCGCATAACGCATAAGACACAACGGGGACGCACATACCGCTGGGATACACGATTCGAGGGTGTCTTGAACAACCTCGAACGCCGTTACATGGAGACCGAGTCAGACCATGTCCGAAAGGAGATCGAGAGATACATGTCGGCTCGTCAGTGCGCCGACTGTGATGGACAGAAACTCAGACCAGAGGCTCTAGCCGTCACAATTGGTGGGTCGAACATAACGTCCATGACAGATAGCTCCATTTCCCAGGCACTGGAGTGGATCACAGTCATATCCGGCGACTTCCCATCTGCTAACGGCACCAGGCCTGAAGACGTCCTCACCGACCGCGAAAAAGCCATAGCAGAGCAGATTCTCAAGGAGATCGAAGCAAGACTTAGGTTCCTTCTGAACATCGGGCTTGACTACCTCACACTCTCTCGGACCGCATCCACTCTGAGCGGCGGCGAGGCACAGCGAATCAGGCTGGCAACCCAGATAGGGTCTGGGCTGATGGGCGTGCTCTATGTGTGCGACGAGCCTTCCATCGGACTCCATCCAGCAGACGATCACCGTCTGATCCGCACACTCCAGAACCTGAGAGACATCGGCAACACGGTGCTGATCGTCGAGCACGACGAAGCGATCATGCGCGCAGCCGACCACATCGTTGACCTGGGCCCGGGTGCTGGTGAGCACGGCGGACACGTTGTTGCTGAGGGCCCCGTCGATGCCATCATCGACACCCCGGACTCTCTAACCGGTCAGTATCTCGGCGGCACTAAGCAGATTCCTGTGCCCACCGAACGCAGGCAAGGCAATGGCAGGTCCATCACCATCAAGGGCGCTCGGCAGAACAACCTCAGGGACATTGACGTAGAGATTCCAATGGGCCAGTTGGTCTGCATTACCGGAGTGTCCGGTTCCGGTAAGAGCACACTTATCTACGAAATTCTATATAAGAAGCTTGCCCAGTCTCTCTATCGATCTCGTGAGCGTCCCGGAGACTGCGACTCGATAGAAGGCATAGAAAACATAGACAAGGTCGTCAACATTGACCAGTCACCCATTGGCCGTACGCCACGGTCGAATCCTGCAACCTACACCGGCACATTCACGCCAATTCGTGAGCTTTTCGCCACGGTCCCAGAAGCTCGCACCCGCGGCTACAAGCCGGGCCGATTCTCGTTCAATGTCAAGGGAGGCAGGTGTGAGGCGTGCACCGGCGACGGCTACATCAATATAGAGATGCAGTTCCTGCCGGACGTGACTGTCCCTTGCGAAGTCTGCACCGGCGCGCGATACAACCGTGAGGCTCTAGAGATTGAGTGGAAGGGCGCAAACATCGCCGAGGTCCTGAACATGACTGTGACCGAGGCGCTCGAACATTTCGAGAACATACCGCGCGTCAAGCGTAAGCTCCAGACGATGTATGATGTCTGGCCTTGGCTACATCCGACTGGGACAGCCAGCCACGCAGCTCAGCGGTGGCGAGGCCCAGCGCGTCAAGCTATCGACCGAGTTGTCGAAGCGCGCTACAGGGCAGACCCTGTATATTCTCGACGAACCAACTACCGGACTGTCCTTCGAGGACTGCTCCCACCTGATGCGCGTTCTTCAACGTCTCGTAGACGCCGGTAACAGCGTCGTCCTTATCGAGCACCACCTCGACCTCATCAAGAGCGCCGACTGGCTCATCGACTTGGGCCCCGGCGCAGGCGACAAGGGAGGCGACATGGTCGCCCAGGGCACCCAGAAGACCTCGCCGCAATGGACCACTCACAGACGGGCCACTATCTGCGGGGAGTCCTTCCAAGCCTGGAGCTGACTTCCGCCCAAGCGGCCGACTGAGTTAAGTGTAATAGTTTTAGGGACGGTCAAAAGATGGTTTCGATCGACGAGCACGTAAGCGAATTCCTCAGCCAGACTCTGGTAGGCGTAGTAAGTACCGTCGACGCTCAGGGTCGACCCCGCTCTGCTCCTATCTGGTACCAGTGGGAAGATGGCGCCGCCTACTTCTTCACCGGACGCCGAACGCTGAAGTGGCGCAATCTTCTGCGTGACCCTCACGCCTCCCTGTGTGTCGACTGGCGTGAGCCACCCTATCGGTCAGTAATCGTCGACGGCACTGTTGAGGAAGTCGAAAGGCCGCTCTACGATCTCGTACTGTCGATGGCCACCCGCTACTACGGTGACGAAGAAGGGCGCGACTTCTCAGAGGGCTATCGTGGAGATCACCCCGAAGTCGTCATCTTCCGTCTTACGCCTACCCGCGTCGCCGACTACACGTCTGGGGACTAGCCCTCCATTACCTCCGCACCACCGGTAATTGCAGTGCCGACGGATGGTCAGCATCGTGCAGCACAGTCTGTGTCGACGGACTCATCTCGTCCGACTGGTCGTGCGGCGTCCCGGTATACCTCGCATAAGCCGGGAAGTTGCTGGAGGACACTTCCAACCTGATCTGGTGTCCCTTGCGGAATAACATCGCTGTCGGCCCAACTTCGACCCGATATCGGTACACCCCGTCAGCTTGTATAGGTGAAGGCGACTCAAGCGAGTCCCGGTAGCTCGCCCTGAGAATGCCGTCGCAGACGTTGAGGGCGCTCCCATCGGAATGTACATCCACGAGCTTGGCGGTCCAGTCGGTATCTGCGGCCGTTGTCGCCGCCCAGAGGTCGAGTGTCACGTAGCCTGTGACCTCGGTATCCTTTTCAAGGGGCTCAGATGTATAGACGAGTACGTCTCCACGTGATTCCACGCCACGCTGGTCCTGAACGCCAACGTTGAAGACCGTCGGGACGCCTCCGAGATGAGCGCCTCCGACCGTCGGCACCGGATTTGCAGGGTTGTACAGGAAGTGGTCTGATGGCTCAGACGACGCGCGGGAGGATTCGACCCGGCAGTCAGTGTCCGTTCCCCGTTCCCGTTACAGATGTATTCGAACCTTCCCACGCACTAGCGGCATAAAAAGAACCATAGAACAGCAGTCATTCGTCTCAGGCATCAGAGTGGAGGCGCGAACTCCTGCTAGGCCCGCACTCGTGTGTGCCACCATGATGAGACAGAGTAGGCACTGGGTCGAGTCGTCGCACGCCGATTGCTCGTCGCTCTCACCATACTGTCGAACCGAGGCCGCAGTATGACATGCGCGGAGTGCCAGACAGTCTATGGCGGCCTCGTGACGCGATGGCCCGAAGAGTAAAGTCGTTACCAGCTGAGATCGCGAGAGCCTAGAGCTATGCAGCCACGGCCCGCCCAGCGTTGCGCTGCTGAGAACGTGCACTACGCCTCTCCGCCCGGCTCTACCTCATGTCCTCGTAGTTACGAAGTGTGGCGCGAATGAACCCGTCATACCAACCCCCCTGGTTGAGGGCCGGCACCGTGACCTGTCGTACTTCTCTCTCGGAGCGAACGATTTCCAGTAATCGTCGTATGTGGGGTGTGCCAGCCAGTCGTAGTAGTAGTCGCACACCTCCCTAAGCGCGGGCATGTCGCCTAGCGGCAGGTGGTTCGCGATGGCCAATGGGTCTCGACGCCACTCGCGCAGCAATGCCCTGGCTTCCGGAGAACGCCCGGACCGAGGGGGGAAGTCGTCCAGCACGAACCCCGATGCCCACCCGCTTATCCAGAACAGCTGGAAGACTCCTCCGAGGTACGTCCAGCTATCGTAGTAGGAATCTGCCGTCACTCCCGGAACAATTGCCTTCAGCGCCGGATGCGCCTCGGTGGCAGCAAGCCACTGGGTTGCTCCGTGGTACGAGATGCCAAACATTCCGACCGTGCTGTCCGACCACGACTGTGAAGCGATCCAGTCAATAGTGTCGTTACCATCTATGGCTTCGTTGGCGTACGGGTACCACTCCCCGTCGGAAGCATGTCGCCCACGAACGTCTTGAATCACGACTGCGTACCCGCGGTCCAGAGCTCTCATGGGATCTAAGTACATACTCCGGTAACGTGGCGAATGCTTCCCGTACGGAATTTTTTTTCCCCCTTTGCTTGCAAGGTAGGGTGACCTCACCCCTACGACGGACCGGTACACGTCGGCGCGCAACACGACACCGTCCCTCATGGGCACTGCGACATTCGTTTCAGACGATACTGATGTCGAACGTCTGAACTCGTCCTTTACGGGGTTTCGGCAGCATGATACCCTCACAGTCTGAGTCTACTGACAGCATTGGATGGCTGGACGATAGCACTGCGATAGAGGCAGGTCAATTCAGTGCTAATGCAGGTGCCTATGGTACATCGCGATCGCTCGTTAAACGTCCGCCGGAGCGAATTCGCTGTGGACCCATCTACACCCACTATCCGAAGCGCCACTCCGGCTGATGCCAATAGGATCGTCGAGTTCCAACAGGCAATGGCCCTTGAGACCGAGGGCAAGACTCTGGACGAGGCCCTCATCACCGTAGGCGGCAAGACGCCGTTCTGGCATCGCCTGACAAGGGCTTCTATATCGTGGCTGAAATCGATGGAGAACAGTGGGCGGGTAGCCTACTGATTACTAAGAGTAGGAGAGCGATGGGGTAACGCCACCTTCTTGTGGATTCAGAGCGTCTTCGTCGACGCAGATCATCGTCGGCGGGGAGTCTACACAGCCATGCACAATTACGTGATTTCGCTCGCCGAGGCCGACGAAGGCCTCTGCGGTGTCCGGCTCTACGTTGAGCGCACAAACACGGGTGCCCAACAGACCTACAAGAGCCTTGGCATGGACCACTCCCACTACGACATGTACGAGATTGATTTCCTAGCATAACTGGGAGGCCGAGCATTGCTCCCCGATAACGTCATCGAGTTCGTTTCTGCAAACCATCAGGCAGTCCTGTCCACCTTCCGCAGGGACGGCGCAGGCCAGATGAGCATCGTCACTGTCGGGCAGTACGGCGATGGTGCCGGCTTCACGACCACGGAAGACCGCGCGAAGCTCCACAACCTGGCCCGCAATTCCCGCTGCTCGCTGTTGGTCTCCAAGCCCGACGGGTGGGGCTACATAGTGCTAGAGGGTCATGCAAGACTCTTGCGGCGAGGCGAGTCGGATGAAACAGAGCTGCGTGACGCTCTCAGGGGTATCTACCGAGGGGCCTCGGGCCAGGAGCACCCCAATTGGGACGAGTACGATCAGGTGATGATCGACGACCGCCGCGCCGCCGTCATCGTCGTTCCAGAGCGAATCTACGGGACAGCACTGTGACGGACAGACCAAATTTCCTGGTGATAATGTCCGACGACACGGCCCGATGTGGTCCTCAGCCTACGGTCATCCATTCGTTCAGACGCCAAACATGGAGCGACTCGCCGAGTCCGGAGCGACGTTCGACGCCGCCTACTGCAACTCGCCTCTCTGCGTGCCGTCAAGACTGTCCTTCCTGACAGGTCGATACGTATCGAGGTGCCGACGAAGGATGGGACAATGCCAAGCCGCTGCCCTCCGACGTTCCGACTTGGCCCTACCTGCTCAGGTCTGCCGGGTACGACTCCGCCCTCTCCGGCAAGATGCATCTGATCGGATCTGACCAGCTCCACGGGTTCCAGGACCAGCTTGCCTACGACCCCCACGGCGGCGGACACCCTCGCGACGCCGAGCCTGGTTTGTCCACGGGAGGCAGGCACCCAATCTATCTGTGGGAAGATGGCGTACCGACATCGGACGAGCCTTGGCCGAGCGTTACGGAAGCTCGAGCTGGAACGGGCCCTATGATCGAGGCAGACGACGCTATCGAAGAGGCAGCGCTGGAGTACCTCCGTGACCCCTCTCGACGGGATTCGCCATGGGCTCTATGCGTCGGTTTCGTTGCCCCCCACTTTCCATTCATTGTTCCCGAACCATACTTCTCCCTGTACTGGCCCGAGTACGCGGACCTTCCGAACAATTCACCCGGCCATCTCAATAATCTTCCGGCCGCCGCAAGTAGATTGCGCCAGGCCTTCAACTTCAGCGGCTACAACGAAGACGAAGTGCGTACCGCTCGTGCAGCTTACTACGGCCTGATAACTTACCTGGACGACAAGATAGGTCGACTCCTCGACGCCCTCGAAGATGCCGGCATGTCAGAGAACACTGTAGTCATCCATACCTCTGATCACGGCGAGTCCCTCGGCGAACATGGTCTCTGGCGCAAGATGAATTTCTACGAACAATCGGCAAGGGTCCCTCTCCAGATCTCCTGGCCCGGGGTGATCGATGGAGGCCAGAGATTCTCCGGCGCGGTATCGCTCGTAGATGCCACGGCAACAATTCTCGACATGGCTTCTGTAGACCAGAGGTCGCAGTCGTTCATGAACTTGGATGGCGCCTCGCTGCTCCCACAGATGACCGGCGCCTCCGACGAACATCGCGACGAGGCTTTCTCAGAACACCTCGCCCACGGCACGGACCGGCCACGGGCAATGCTCAGGCAGGGCAGGTGGAAGCTCTCGTACAGCCATCACAGCACATCGCCCGACATCGAACTCTACAATCTAGAGGCCGACCCCGGTGAGTTCGTCGACCTCGCCAACGACGGAAAACACTCGGCGGTCCAAAAGCGCTTGACGAACAGAATCATGGACATCTGGGGCGACGCCGACACTCTCGATCGACAGATCAAAGATAGCCAGCGCTCCCGTCTCATGATCCGCGACGTCCTCGGAGATGACTCCACCTTCTAACCACGCTCCCAAATGCTCCAAGGCATACGTTCGCTGCACTCCACCCACTTAACAGTTCAACATTCCGCATCCCCACCTTTATGACCTGGGTACTCCTCGCCCTCGGAAGCACCATCACCTTCGCCTTCATTTCGGCAATGGACAAGATTCTCATTGCCCGATTCACTCCGAACCCGCGGACTTTCATAGTGATGGTCGGTCTTACCCAGTTCATACTTGCAATCGTAATAGTTCCCTGGGTGGACTGGGCTGGTTACACTCGGCAGGACGTGGTTCTCGCGGTGTTGTCGGGTCTGACGTCGGGCGGATACCTCGTGCTTATGTTCTGGGTGATGGGTACACAGGATGTCTCGCGAGTCGTGCCTGTTACATCTACGTATCCCATCTTCGTCGCTGTCCTCGCCTTTGTCCTGCTCGGGAGCAGATTGGGGTTCTCGCCTGGATCGGGGTATTTGTCACGGTGGCTGGGGCCGCGCTAATGTCTCTCGGCCCGACTGCGAGAGCCAGCGACAGAGGGAGCGGCCAGGTGTTCGCCTTCCTTTTACTGATATTCGCCAGCCTCGGATTCGGACTAAGCCAGGTCTTCAGCAAGATGGTTGCCGACAGCATGGACATCTGGACACTGTTCTTCTGGAGAGCCCTGGGCAATGGCGCAGCCTGCGTGGCGTTCACCATCAGGCCGAGTGGCATGGGCGACCTATTGAGAACCCTGCGGAGACCCACATCGGTTGGACTGATCCTGTTTACCGAAGGCGCGCTGGTGTTCGTCGCTCTCGCCTTCTTACTGGGAGCGATCTATTCAGGCCCCGTCTCGCTTGTGTCTACGGTCATGGCAACGAGACCCTTGTTCGTATTCGCACTTGGCATAGTGTTAAGCGTCGGCGTCTCAAACGTGCTGAACGAGCCGCTTGAACGCAAAATACTCGTAATCAAGACGCTGTCAATAGTGATGACCGTCGGCGGCGTCGCCGTCGTAACACTGGCTACTAAAAGCCGGTAATCTGGTTCATGAACCTTGACAACCCCTGTCTGCTCACGTATAAGTGCGCTCAGATGATGGGGTCATTGGGACTCGACGCGTGTCGGGAAGATCGACGAGAATTCAGCACCTTGTCGATCGTCTCCTGAATGTAACTTGGCCGAAGAGTCGGTCGGGTTATAGCCCCGAATTTAGCTTGGAGGAATGTAATGACGCGAATTCTCCGTGTCTTTCCGGTATTGACACTCTTAATCGCCGCGCTGCTGTTCGCCGTTGCTTGCGGCGACGATGCGAATGAGCCGTGACTGCCCGCATCCACAGCTGCCACCTACGGCAGCACCTGCAGCCGCACCGGCCCCGCGGCCAGCCCATGCGCGACTATGGCGGC